AAAATGTCTATTATAGTTGAAGGGGAAAGAAAAATCTTCCATGACATAAATGGGCTGAAGGAATTCATGTCCACAAAACCAGCCCTTGAGAGAGTACGGGAACAGATACAAAGAGTTGAAGAAAGGAATGACTATACCCAAGGGGTTGCGGAAAGAATTCCAACGAGGGTATAACAGGGTAAAATACAGCTATAGCAAGAATGTAAGAAAATACTACAGGACTTCAAGACCCAAATTAACCCCAACTCATTAATAGTAGGGGACTTCAAAATGCCACTATCTCCATTAGATAGGTCAATGGGCCAGAGTCTTAACAGAGAGACATCTGAAATAAACAAAACCATATATGAAATGAACTTAACAGATATCTACCGAGTATTCCACCCAAACACCAAAGGACATACTTTCTACTCAGCACCCCATGGAACTTTCGATCTGACAAAATAGACTTTAAATTAAAACTAATCAGAAGAGATGAAGCGGGCCACTTCATTCTGATCAAAGGAACAATAAACCAAGAAGATATTACAATCATGAACATATATTCACCAAACTCTGGTGCACCCAACTTCATAAAAACAATACTACAGGACTTTAAGACCCAGATTAATCCCAAATCATTAATAGTAGGGGACTTTAATACCCCACTGTCTCCATTAGATTGGTCAACAGGGCAGAGAGTTAACAGAGAGACATCTAAATTAAACAATACCATATATCATACATGGACCCAACAGACATCTACCGATTATTCCATCCAAGCACCAAAGGATATACTTTCTACTCAGCACCCCAAGGAACCTTCTCCAAAATCAACCATATACTGGGGCACAAAACAAACCTCCACAAATACAAAAGATAGAAATAATTCCATGCATTCTATCAGAGACAATGCAATAAAGCTTACAATCAACACTGGAAGAAGCCCTAATCACCACATGAACACATGAACATCAAACAACACACTCCTGAATGATGAATGGGTCAAAAGAGAAATTAAGAAAGAAATAAAAATATTCCTGGAACTAAATGAAAAGGACAATACAACACAACAAGACCTCTGGGACACGCTGAAAGCTGTCCTTAGAGGGAAGTTTATAGCTCTAAGTGCCTACATCAAAAAAAATGGAAAGAACACAAATAAATGAGTTAACATTGCAACTCAACATACTGAAAAAGCAAAAGCAAACAAAACCCAAACCCAGCAGACAAGAAGAAATAACAAAAATCAGGAAAGAATTTAATGAAATCAAAATAAAGGAAACAATACAACGAATCAACGAAACCAAGAGCTGGTTCTTTGAAAAGATAAACAAGATTAACAGACCACTAGCCCAGTTAACCAAAAGAAAGAAAGAGCACCTCC